AAACCACAACAGAGACAAAAGTCAAAAAGTCAAAAACTGCATGGAAGAACTACAGAAACCTGTGGAACAGAAACTAAGTGATCAGGAATGAGAAATCAACAGGGTGACTTGCGTTTAACAGGCATGAACTACAGAGAGCGTTATTTTTCTCTGTCATGAAATTTTAAGCTCCATTCATTAATATTCCCTGTAGCTTTCATATTAATAAAATCTCTGTTCCTAGCACCCTGTCCACTGTGTGGCAATTTGATAGCACTGTAGCGTCAACAGCCTTCCTTTTAGGGATAGAGATGCTATGTCATGGAAACTGAACTATGTGATAAATAAACAACATTGTGGAAAGACGATCTCCAAAATATCTGAATGGAAAAAACAGTCTAGGATGGTAGTAATAGTTAAAGTAAAAGGTATAAAGAAGTAGAACAGAGTTTGCTGTGTGCTTTGAGTAAAATTGTTGCTGCATATTTGGAGCTACGAATGCATACCATAAAGAAGAGACTTACTTTTTCATACTTACTGTGGTGTGATTGCTTTGCAAACAGGGCATTCAATTTGCATCATAGGCAAAGGTGTTGCTTTGTGGTGGTAATCTATACAAAGCTGGTTTTCTACTCCTCTGTAGAAGCAAAGCTGCCTTCTAACATGCTGCCAAAACAGTATTTCATAAATTTAATAGAGCTGCAGACTCAGGTGACTACTACTATAGTTTAAAGCTGATCTTGCTTCATTTTCAAGCTTGGGTAGTGGCATATCATACTGTGCAAGGCTTTCTGGTAGCAGTTGTTTGAGCTGTAAATAGTTCAGAAGGCAGTCTAATATGATGCATCATCATACTACTGAAGAATGTAATTCTCATGGAATAGCTATCTAACACACATTTGATTTACATAAATCTCTTGTGCGTAGTGAGAGATGACAATGTCAGAGTCACATCGTCATTAGAGGACTGCTGTATGGGATATTGTACAATGATCATCAGTGTATTCTATAAAAAGCAATTGGAATTTTCATCATATTCATAGTGACTTCACAAGCATTTTTTTTGTCTTGCGAGACATGCTGCATCATGACACAGCAATACAAAAAAAAAAAAGGTTACTTGCACAACTATATGAAAAATGGAACAAATGGCTCCATAACTAAGACCTATTAAGTTTTGTTGTTTCACATGAAATCTGTCTACCAAACCACACTGCTGTCACTATTGCTTATATTCCAGATTCTGTCAACATTTGCAAAAAAACCTGCCTTTTCAATATTACCTGCCAGGAAAAAAACAAGTCTATTTTTTCCCCTAAGTATAGGATTCATGCTACTTCTGTTATCACTATTGAAACCATTCTGACCAGCAGATGTTAAGTTAATATTCTGCTTGAGTAGAAATGGGATCTTTATAAAATTGGAATTTGCTCTAAGGCACATAACACTTGTTTTCAGTCATATAAAATATGGAGATCCCAACTGTAAAATATGACATTGTTAGGTGTAGAAAAGGTCTATATATTTTTGATGGACAAAAATGTTTTCATTACATTTTTCCCCTCATCTAGAAAATGTTTGTATGCTGAATCTGTTATTTTTCATGAAAATATATTGATATTTTAATGATAATTTTATTGTAAAGGCTTTTTGGAGGCAAGATAGAATAAATAATCAGCTCTAGAAGGAGAAGGCATGATCACAAAATAACCAAGTGATGTTGACTGCAGGATCAGATTAGGTCTTGATTCTTCCGTATGACTGGAGTAGGAGGAGATGTAGTATTACTGTTTTTAAAGACCACTTGAAGAGTCTAATTTTCATTCTGTTGTAAAGCAAGAACTGAAATGTTGAAAGCTCAACTCAGAGGACATGGCAAAGGAGACTTTTGTTTTCTGGTTAGCTGTAGCTGTTATCTGGTGATGTTTCTGACTGCTTCTGAATCTTTGGCATGAGAGAAGATCCTCAGCTGATGTAAACTGGCATAGCTTCATGACTTACGATAATCGAATCTGACAACAGTTGATTTGGAGGATGGATATAAATGGGCTGAAGAATATCTCTAAATTCAGTCAATACAGTGACAACATAGATGTGGGCTCTGTTGCAAATGCTTAGTCTGCCTTTCTCAGGCCCACTACTACCACTTGATCAATTCAGATTATGGCCTTGGAAAGGGGGCTTAATTATCCTCCTCTGAGTAGATTTCTCCCTTCTGTCTAAGGGGCCAGAACTTTTGAGGGTTTAATATTTTATTTCTTAAATTTTAATTCTTGTCTCTGACTGCTAAATGGCTGTGGCCTTCAAGAAAAAAAAAAAAAAACAAAAACAAACAACAAAACAGTATTTAAATTTCCAAGTGGGATTTTGGTTCAGCTCCTCTTTTCCTGTGGTCTGTCAGTGCTTTTCCAAACCAGATTTTTATCTGGATGATGGAGCTGAAGGTACTTCCTTGAGGGCCTCTGATGTAACTACCCTGAAAGAGGAGTCACCCACTTCTGGAAGGTCTGAAGACTTCACAGTTTGTCTCTGTCCTTTGACTCACCTCTGTTGTCTGTAACAGTACTTGACTCAGAGCTTTACAAATGAATTTTCTGCTTAGTACATAGTTTTGTTAGTCACCTTAAATGAGTGACTTATAATGGTGATTGTGAAGCTAATAATGTCAAAGTGACCAAAAATAGGAAGCATGTTTACAAGAGAGAGATGATCTGCCTTTTTGAATTAGCAGTGACCACTCCAGCAGACTACTGAGCTGCACTATTAAGAGGTTCATACATTCCTTAGCTAGAATAGTATTCATGGATGGAAGGAGTAATTGCTATGGTTTATAGATGTGAGATGAGATCTTTAGGGCATCTATGGGGATGATAAGTCATGTCTTTGCAAATCCTCAGCAGCTATGAAGATATCTCAAAGTGATGAAAAATAAAGCTACTGCTAAAAGATGGCTGAAATAGTAATTACTTTTTGGGTAATCTTTAGAGTTGAACTTCAGTTATTCAAAATCTGTTTTGAATGTTTAAGTACTAGCATATTTGCATACTGTTTTTCTCAGGGACCTGAAATTTTTGCAATAGAAAGATCCTGTGCAGATTTTGCTGTATCATCTGTAGTAGGAGGTCCATTTGCAGAAGATTCATTCATGGATTAGTGAAGAAAACTTCTGGTCTTTTATGCTTCCCTGGTTACCATCTTCTACAGAAGCTGCAAATGAATAGCAACTTCTAGGACATTGAATCTATCCCTTGTCCACTGCAGAATTGTTCCTAACAGCACTGAGTTTGAGATCTGTGATTTTTTATGGCACTTCACTAATCTCAGTAAGGCACAAGTTCAGTAAAATAGACCTGTGAGCTCATCTGCATTCAGATTAATGACAAGAGAGTGTCTGCATGGATTTGCATGTCTTCTGTATAGGAAAGTAGTGATAAGTAAAGTTATTTGGTTTTTTTCAGGACGTTTCATAGTATTGATATTTCATTAATGCACCATTTTGGGTGCTAATTTACAAGGAGCTGACAGAAAACAAACAGATCTGATAGCCATTTCATACTGCACAGATATTTATAGCCTGCATTAGTAAGTGCTTGGCCATGCTGCACTTGCAGCTTTGTTGGAATGAACTGGAGTGAATTCGAAATTAATCAAATGTCTGGATTTTATTAATGGCATGTTGAGTTATTGACTGTGGGTCTTCATCTTTATACTGAAAGTTAGTTATATGAGAGTCAATACAGTGGTTGAAACCAAGAGGAAAAACGTAGCTTTTTCTTTATTTATTTATTTCTCTTTGTTTTTTTGCTGGCATCACTTCACTGATAACAGTAGATAAATTTACTTAAAACAGTCTGAAGATGATTCAGAGGCACGTAGGACAGTTGGTAAAATTAAATGGTGTTCAGTACAAAGAGCTAAAAATTAATAGAAAACAGTCATATGTCTGATTAATTTCTTATGAAAAATATCATCCCAGTGAAAGATTAGTACACTCGCTGGACCATATACACCTGACTTAGTTGTGGAATTATAGCACTAAAACACATTGTGACTGACAATGCAATTACTAAAATCCATTTTGACTGATGCTGCCTAGCAGTTACCATTCTAATCTGTTACTGTCACTTTCACTGACAGTAAAGGGAAACTCAGTTCAGTGTGTTCCACTGAATCAGGGAAGTGAAACAGTAGCACAAAATAGTTTTCCAATTAGTTTTCAAACAGAGTATTTTATAAAAAAAATTAGTATTTTTTAAAGACATGACACCAAAGTTCTCTGTCATTATTTCTAATAGACCTGTCAACTGCGTATTTTATAGATAACTCATGTATATCTCAAGCTCTTGCATGGTGTGAATGTAGGGGGTTTTGTATCTGTCACTTTTATTTATAAACTTGATTTTCAGTGGTGAAGGTGTGGTTGTGGCTTGAGTCAGTATGCTTCTGAGAGTTCTGAGGCATGGGTGTCTCTTGCCTTCTGGGTGGCTAGAGTCAGGCCTCAGGAGCTTCTTGGTCTGTGCTTAGGTGTGCTTAGGTGTGATTATTACCCTTGGTGTTGCACTGATACACACTCAACAAAGCATCTGGGTCGATTTTTCAGCTCTGATCATAAATTTTTTAGTGCCTTGATTCCTTCCCCAGTTCATTCTAGAAAGTTACCTCCTTTTTCATCAGCATACACAACCATGGATATTTCTGTTTGCTGGATACAGATCAGTCACTGATGATTAATCACTTGGTAAGTTCCAAGATACTGACATTCACTCAACAGAGAACTGGAGGTGTGATCTTGCAAAGATGTTAACTGTCACCAGCAGAAGATTGAGACTTAAGCAGTAATATATTATTTTCTGATTATTTAACTTAAGTCAAAGTGTGTTTGAATAAGTTTTTCAGAAAGAATAATATATCTGACTGTTGTACCAACTGACAGAAAAAAAACACATTTCCCCAGGAAAACACGGTGGCTAGATTTTTCAGTTATTGCTGAATATGTTTGTTGTTCTTTTTTTTAACTGCAGAAAGTGAGTGAAAAAGTAGGAGGTGCGGAAGGAACCAAGTTGGATGATGACTTCAAAGAAATGGAAAGGGTAAGTCTAAATACAGATGTGTGTATTCATTATTACCATTCATTTTTCCTTTCTAGGACAGGAAGTTCAAAGCCTTTGTCCCAGAATCACTTGAATTTTGAAAGACTTAAATTTCATTCAGCAGGACTGAACTTTATGTTTCTTACTTCTTTTTGTTTTCTAACTGAGATATACATAATATATGACACTGTTTATAATGCCAATATTTCATTCAGAGATTGAGGCTGGTGTCAGCTAAAAATTGGTTTCTGCTAAACCATTGTAAAGGATCTCTGCAAACAGAGAGTCCATCTACAGGATGGTCATTTCAGTGGCAAAGTGTGCCTGTAATTCTCAGCTCCCTGAGCATCAATCAGCAGGGGCAGGAGCTGTGTGCTGAAGAGGATTGGCAGGGTCACTGGGATATTCAATCACAAGTTCGGAGATCCAGCTACGCAGCCTCCCCTAGCAAAGTGCCTTGGGTAGATGGGACTCACCCCCCAACAGACTATTGGATGATGCTGGCAGTGGTAGCACCGAGTGTTGCTGTGATGGAGAAAAAAAAAAGCCACGACTGTGTGTGGCAGTGATATTTCAGTTGGGATCAGGAGGGGCAGGTTTTTTTCTGGCTTCAACTTTGAAAAGGAATATCAAATCTTGTTAAATAAGCTACTGCTAGGTGATTTGTAGGGCACACATCTGATATATAACTCTGATCAAGAGAAACAGAAGCTATTTATCTGTACATTTGTATAGTGAGATGGGGAAAAAACTCTGGGTAGAAAACAAAGGAGAAGGGCATATCTTTTGTACTTCTTAAAGCAAAAGTACTGCAGAGTTGTTTTCTCTCCTTCTATTCATCTTCCCTTTGTGCCACAAGTGTAGGCACTGCCATCAAGACTGGAATATGTTAACAAAGTTTCCAAAAACTGAAGCAAGGTTTAGAGTGGAAAATACGACATTGCAACAGCCAGGGGTGAATCCCATGTAGTGCTCGTGGGTGGCATGGGTTGGAATCCCAGGAGACGAGAGCACTGAGAGTTGAGAAGAGAATGGAGTAACCTCATCAGTTGCCTCCAAGCTCCCCCACCTGGCCTGGTGTCCCTTACCAGCTTTTCTGCAGGCAGTGGACATGCTCCTTCTGCCTATTCCTGGCCTTCTGTTCCCTTGCACCCACTCTCCTCTGCAGCCTTCTAGCCATTTCTGGGCTCCCTACCAGTCAGTTGAGCTACTTACTCACCCAGGGCTGGCAGACCTCTTCTGCTTCTTTGTGTAAAGCATAGAGCAAGACCTGGCAGATGGCACTGGCAACAGGAAACACGTCAGTCACAGTGTGCTGCAACCAACCTATCTCAGGTGTTCTTTTTTAAAAATAGGAACTTGCTATTTTGATGAAGGAGTCCACTCTGTGGTACACAAGCTACCCTGCAGAGAAATGCATTGTGTCTTCATAAATGCAAAGTATAGGACAGGTTATGGGGATCCCCAAATCTGCCAAAGCAGAATTTTTTTTCTTTGAGTCCTGATTCTGTGAGGGAGAATAGCTTCATACTTTGCTGTATGCAGCTTTGGAAGGTGATCTCAAGTACTTCTTAAGAAAGCAAGAGTTTCTATTACAGTAGAAGAAAATAATGCTGTTCAGTTCTAAGTATTTTAAATTCCTAAATATAAAATAATTCTTCATGGAGTCAGCCAGGGGAAATAAATGGTCAGTGCATCCATGCTGATAGGTTTCTTGAAACTGGAAACTAAGTGATACCTAGTCTTCCTTGCCTCAAGTTTGCTCACTCTGAAAGAGGTAGACAGCCCATTTTATCACTGGTGGCTGGTTTTGATTGACATCCACTTCCTCTCTCATTTTGCCAGTTATTAGGGGATCAAAGACAGCAAATTCTTCAAATAGTTTTCAGTGACAATTCTATGAAAAAGTTTTCCCTATTTTGGATGCTTCCCAGCATGATGTAAAGTATCAGCATGGTACAGTGAGTTGTATCAAATTATTAACGCATCCTGAGGTAGTCTGTATTAACAGCCTCACTTGAGAATGGAGCAGCTATAAACTGAAATGGTGGACTTGTGCTTTGGTAATTTTCCAGGTATTATCACCATTCTGGTACCAGGGCTGTTCTCGGGGACACAAAAATAGAATTATAAGAAGAGTTAAAAGAATTTATTAGAACAAAAAGAAGAGAAAAAAATAATCTTCCTTTTGTCTAACATATTTTTTTCATGTTTCTTTTTGTTGAACATTCTGTCATTTAGAAAGTGGATGTTACCAGCAGGGCAGTTATGGAAATAATGGCAAAGACGATAGAGTATCTTCAGCCCAATCCAGGTAATGTAATTTCACAGTCTCACAGTGCTTGCAGCACTTTTTGAAAACACTGTCTCACCAATAAATAGTCTGGCAGATCTCATCCTCACTGGTGCAGTTAAGAGTAACACAAAATTGGCGAAGTTACCGTGAAGCAAAAGACAGAGATGAATACAGGCTTCTGTGTTAGGCTGTCACAGGGAATGGAGACTGGCTTTGGGAAGCTTGTTCTCCTTCCGTGTGTTCTTGCTTTAGGTAAGGGGGCAGCATATGCATAGAAACCAGGTGTGTTTACTTACAGGCATCTGAATGTCAGCACTGTGAGCATGGAGTGGCTCCCTGAGAGCTGTGGTCTCCCCAGGGGCGGCAGGGCAGGGCCTGGCAGCCAGGGCCCACCCCACTGCTCCACCCAGGAGTGGGGCAGCTGGAGGCACTGGGACCGCAGTAGCCCTGGTCATCAGGCACCTCCCTGGCTATGAGGACTGGCCAAGGCCAGGCAAACAGCCCCAAATGTTCAGGATCAGGCCCCAACACCATCTGCATGAGACATCTCTTTCTTCCGCAGTCCCAGTCATCCACCCTGTGTGAGGGAAAAGGACCAGGCAGTCCTTGCATACCAGGGAAAGCAAGACAAAGTTCTGAAGCAACTTCCTCCATGTCACAGGAAGAGATATAACACCACCTTTCACCTGGTCCTCCAGGGATTTCCCATCCTCATTAGAGTTACTACAAAAAGGCGGGTGCAAAAGAGCTGTTGATGTAGAACTGAAGGGCAGTTAAACAGACGTAATCAGAGATGACTAAATGGAACCTTCAAAATAGAAATAAATGATGGGTTTCCATGGAGAGATTAAAGAAAGGTTTTCTGATTGGGTGATAGAGAGCTGTGTGCTCCTGTCCTGCCAAAGGATCCTCCCAAGGAGGGGTGATCTGGAGCTGCTATAATCAAGTAAACCATTAAATTCAAGAACTTGAGGATTTCTGTAGTGATCTAGGAACATAAGGGTTTTGATACTAGCATAGGTCAATGCCAGCTTCACTGATGGGGTCAATGGAGTTATGCTTGTGCAAAGGTAAAATAAATATGAAGGTAAAATAAAATGAAGATAAAATAAGGCACTCTACCTACCATAAGTATCTTAGAGTTTGGTGGATGTACAGACCAAATTCACTCACGCACTGTGAGGAATTTGTTTGCTAATAGCTGGAAACAAATTTGAACAGGTGAGAAATATTTTAACTCCGGTTTGGTAGGATGAAGGACTGTTGCTGGTATAGTTTAATTGGTGATACTTTTATGTTAGACCACAGAGGAAAGTAGGATAATTTTATGATGCTGCCAGTGGACTGAAAAAACAAGGAATAGTATTTACAAGTTCAAGAACTGCTAGAGAGAAAATAATGATGACTAAAATGGTTTCTATGTCAACAGATGAAATACTGTTTATAACTTTAGTCCACAGCTTCATTGCTCATTGTCAACAAGCACTCCACAGGAAAAGCAATAGAATTGACAAACATTATGGGGCTAGTGGTAAAATTGTTAACTACTGTCACTCTGCTGTTGTGCAACATCATACATACTAAGTAATAAGCTTTGGCTGTTTAGTGCTTCTCTGGCTGCCTTCCTGACACATCTGAGCAATTATGATTGCTGTGAATCATGAAGGAGACTCACAGCAATGGTAGAGAGCAAAATTTCTGGAAGCAGCTAAGGATGTGATTTCAGGCATCTCAGGCTGATGTAAGCTTGCAGTGCTGCAGGAAAGAGCATTTTCCGTACTCTGGATACACATCCCTTCATCTGCTTGTGGCGTGTGCAAGTGGGATCGGAAGATTAAAATTGTAATAGACAGGACAAAGATTTACTTTCTTGCATATCAAATGAGGTCATGTTATTCATTCCACATCTGGGCAGTGGTAGCAAGTGGAGTAAGAGGAAAGGAGGACTGACTCTTTTCATTTCTCACCTGATCTTAGATTGTTTCATGCTAATTGCAAAAGGGCTACCCTTAGTGAGAAGAATTGCATGGAAAATTACTTCTTTTTTCAATAAAATAAAAAACTTCCTCTTTAAAATTCTCACTACAACTATATTACTATTTACCTGGGGCACCAAAGATGCTAATTTCCAGTACCTGTTTGCTTTCTCATTTTTATAAAAATAGAAACATTACATTGGAAGGAAGGGGGAAATTGAATGAAAAAAATCTCTTTAACAGCAATATTTAACAGAAGATTTTCTTTAAAATTTTACCTAAGTTTGGTAGAGAGAGAGGGTTTGGGATGTAGCACACATTCCTTGCTAAGTAAGATGTGCCATGAAAATATCAATATGCTTGAGTAACACAGTACTGCAGTGCTAGAGATTAATTACTTCATGGTGTTTTGAAGGATCCGTAAATGAAGTATGCATCATTGTCTAACTTCACTAAACAGTTAATTAACTAATGCTGGAAGGGAAAAGGAAAAGGGGGAAAAGGAAGGGGGAGGGAAGAGAAAAGAATATTAAAGACAAAGGTGAATTTATTGAAAGAGATGTTGGTCTGATGTTAGTGTGAATGAAAAAGAGCTTTGCAGGCTTCCCAGTTATGAAAAATAACTGAAGGACAGCTGAAAATAGCTAAAATTGAATGTGGTGAACGCTTAAAGACTTGCCATGCAGATGTACCTGACCATAATCTCAAGAAAAAGAGGTACAGGATGAAGATTGAAAGAACGACGAACGAGCAGTTGAACCCACTGCTGAAGTTTCTTTTGAACTCTTTTGGCAGTATTCTTATGATTTGCCATGGTTCTGTTAACATTTAATACTAAGGTGAATCATTAATTACACTATGAAAGTCAATGTAAAGAGAGGGAGCGCAACTGGGAAAAGAATCAAGCACTTGGGTCTCTTCCATGTGGTGTTTTGTACATCTCTGCCTGTCCTCACTCAGGTTGAAAGTAACTTAGAGAAGAAAGCACATGGCACTAGCAAAATAAAGCAGTAGAAATGAAAGGGGAATTTGAGATTGACTGAGCACAAACTTACCTCTTCTAGCATGGAAGTTACTAGAATCAACTTTAAAAGAAGAAAAGTGAATGAGACCACTGGTGGATGTATTCTAAGATTTCCTGCTAAATCAGGATTCTAATGCAATCATCATTAAATGATTAGATGAATCATTGAGGCGTGAACTTTTCATGCTTATCTTTCTTCTCTTTAGGATTTATTTCTTGACCTTCCCTTGTTGTCCTTTCATGTCTCTCATTCTTTTCTTTACCTTTTGCTTTCTAATCTTACCTGCCTGTCCAGAATATAGCCATTTCATTTTTTTATATTCACTTTTACATATTTTCCTTTTATTTCTAAAAATACTCCCACTCGTTCCTGTTTTAATTCAGCTTGCTGCCTCCACTCCCCTCACTGATTTTGTTTGTGCCTTAGCTTCTCTTGTGCTCCTGTATTTTCCCATTACCGCCATCATTTCTATGCCATTTTTAAAGGCCAGACACTTCATTAAAATGCAGTTTCTTATACTGAACAGTCACCCAGTCTGCTGACTGTAGTTTTGTAGTGGGTGGAAATAGAAGACATCAAGAAATTCAGATGGTGAAAAGCATGATCTAGAGGCACACAAGGGTAGTGAGAAAGCTTAAAAAAAATGTAATTACTGTATGTTAATGTCGTGGTTTAGGCCTGATTGACAGCCAACCACAATGCAGCACCTCTCTCTCCCTTCCCCTCCGGCAATGAGAAGGGACAGAGAGCCAGGCTTGGGGTTCAAGATAGGACTGGGATGAGGGAAAATCCCCCTTTTATGATCATGAGCAAAAGGCAGACTTGTTAGGGGAAGAAAAAAAGATCATACATTTATTACAGACACTAACAACACATAACAGAGTAAGACAGTGAGAAGCATTGCCACATCTTGAGAACACCTTCCCCCCACCCCTCCCTTCTTCCCAGGCTCAGCTCTGCTCCCGATATCTCTACCTCCTCCCCCAGTGGCGCAGGGGCAGGGAATGGGGGGTGCAGTCTGTGCTGCCACTTCCTTCATGTTTGGTGAGGGGAGTGTCCAAAACTTGTTCCCCCCTGCTCCATCGTGGTCCCCCTCTCACAGGAGACAGTCCTCCACAAACTTTCTCCGACATGAATTCCTCCCATGGGCCGCAGCGTTCCCCACACTGCTCCGTCATGGGTCACTAACTTCCTCCGACTGGATTCCCTCCCACGGCTGCAGCCCTTCCCGAGCTGCTCCGGCGTGGGACTCCCCTGCATGCTGCAATCCTCCCAGCGCTGAATTACAGCAGCGGGGCTACCTTTTCCCATGAGACCCCGGCCTTCTTTGGGCACAGAACCTTGATCATCTGAGCAGGAACAACAGGCTGTAAATCAATGTCTGCTCCACCGTAGATCTGCATGGGTGGCAGGGGGGGGCCGCCCTGCCGTCTCACCACAGGATACAGGGGGGTCTCTGCTCCGGCACGCCTCCCCCCTCCTTTCTTCCTCTGTTCCTCCACTGACCTTGGTGTTCATGCAGCTGCAGCAACTCCTCCTCACAAGTCCTACTGGCCGTCACCACGTCCCTTCTTAAATACGTTATCGCAGAGGTGCAGCCGATTGGCTCAATTTCCCAAACAGAAGTGGAGCTGATGTGGAGCTGGGGGAGCTTCGAGAAGCTTCTCACAGGGGGCTGCCCCGATAGCCCCCTCCCCTGCCACCAAAAAACTCCACCACTCACTCAACCCAGGACAGTTAAAAATACATTATCCTTTCATAGCTGCTTCTGAGGCAAAATAAGTACTATGACACTTGCCTGATTTTCCTGTGCCTATGTCTGTGCATACATTTGTATGCCACAAAGTGAAATACTCAGCAACAAGAACCATCTCTTGATATGCACTTTCAACAATAAATTAAGAGCAAACCACTTGCTGACTCCAGTCTGCTAATGTTTTATTTTGTTGCAGAAATTCGTGCAAGGTTGAAATTTGACCAATGAAATCAGCCCACAGCAGTGTGAACTATGAATGTTTTCTAAACAAATACTAACTCATAAGAGCAACTAACAAAGATAGGCCTTTGCAAGGAGGAAGGTAGAGGCATTCATAGCTGCCTTCCTGTGGCAGACACAATAATGTATGTAGAAACACCCACCGAGTCAGCTTTGCTGTCAGTAGGATTTAGCTGGCAAAATTTGAAGTCAAGTGCCATTAATTAATTCATTCTCTGCAAGCCATTCCCATTCTGTAGCTGCAAAAATTCACTAAAGCACATCATCACACAAATTAGTTCTTTTATGTTTGCTGTCTTTGTTTTCATCCATTATGATAATTGTGTGCTTTTCTCTGACCTGCAGTTTTATATCTGAAATAAAATACAAGCTAAAGTACAGTTGAAAACCATATTGAAGCAGGAGTTTCCCCAAGTCCCCATAAAAAGCAAAAAGTGTTTTAAAGGTTGTTGGATGTCCTGTTTGGGTACATAGGTTTTATTTAATATGCTACAACAGAAAAATTTTCAAATATTTAAAAAACATGGGTCACCACAGTTTAATCTTGTGCATACCTAGTCTGGACTTTTCCATGAGAGGAACACTGGCTCAAATCTGCTATCCAACTGGTACCCGTGGATTTTAAGATTAAGAATTTGGGAATAGCTTAAAGGTTTTTCTACCTGAGTTGCAGCACGTGTAAAACATGCTATCTTGGGAGTGTTCCTGGCCTTTCTTCTGCCCAAGTAATTTCAAGGGAAGCTTTGACTTAAAGTTCAGTACAGAGCCTTCCCTCTGGCCTACTAGTAGAAAAAAAAAAGTCAGTGATCAACAACATTTAATTCCTTTTTTCTAAAAATTGATGAAAAACAGGGCTTATTCCCAATCTTAGATAATATCCTTCAAATACACTGTAGGTTGCTCAGATAACTTTAAAGAGTGCATTCCTGCCTGGATAGTCAAACTATTGCACATTTGTAACCTTTGTCACTTGCCTGCTTCAGCTTCCAGAGCTAAACTCAGCATGATCAACACTATGTCAAAAATTCGAGGCCAGGAAAAGGGACCAGGTTACCCTCAGGCTGAAGCCTTGCTGGCAGATGCGATGCTGAAATTTGGCCGGGAACTTGGAGAAGAATGCAACTTTGGTAATTTGATTACTTCCCTTTCCATTATAATGCAATAAAAATAGTAGTAAAATTTAATGTTACTTTCATTATTAAAGCATTGTGCTCTTATAAGGGAAGAACTGCAAGAAGCATTAAAGTTCTGCCTTGTCAGACTTCACCTTTAATGTCAGTCAAGGCCTGTTGAGTATCTTCTGTGCATTTGGACTAGAGGTTTTTTTCTTGTGGATGAAAGTCAAATTGTTTCCATTTGGACACATATCCATACAGGCTTTAGGTTCTCTGTCATAGATTATGTTACTGGGGATGTGTTCAACTGAAAAATGTACATGTTCATAAATTGTATTATTGTCTATGCATGTGTACAATAAAACCATTTTATCCTCAGAATTCTTATAATAAATGCTATTGTCTTCATTACGGGCAGGGAATAAAGTCTAGTAGATTTTTAATAGACTTTGACCTTTTTTTTTCCAACCAAATTTCACATTTTAAGGCACTAGTGAATACTCCTGTTCTATCTGTCACTGCTCCTCCCTCCAACCTCCAAATGAGTTTACAGCTGCCTGAGTTAGAAATGTTAAACTGAGACTTAACATTATGTTCTTCAACAGTAGAGGTCTAACTAAAAGAGGTGGCATTCACGACATGATCCTCTGTCTTTCTGTCCTATTTGTGTGGGCTTCTCTGTGGCCATTTTTATAGGGCAACATACAGGACCCTCAAATAGGACCATGAAAATTCTACTTCCTATTTGAATGTTCATAAAATGTTCCTGACATAAAAATATTTGCAATGGAAAAGGTACTTTCTTGTTTATTTTATGTAATTTTCTAGTTAGTTTGGCAGATGTATGTTGATTTGTGCTAGAGACTCCTGAATTGTTTTCTTAATAGGTTGCCTCCCACTTGCTAAATTTTAGACACATTTTTAAAGGGAAAATGAAGAACTAATAGAATTTAGTTTGTACCAATTGCTGTATATTCCCTGATGATTGCAGTAGCACGCAGCAGAATAGATATGGCAGTTATTTTCACATTCATAACTAATAGTGGCTGTTATGGCTGTTTGTCAGTCTTCCTCCAGGTATGGCAGGCTCTCTAGTTTTGCAGTGCATTGCTGGCATCCCCTGCTTGGGAGACAAGGCTCCTTCTGATTTCTCATATTTTTGGATTTTCAGAGCCTTTGTATTCTTTGAAAGTGGATTTTCCCCCACCAACCTACACCTCAAACCAGGAACATATTTTTGACCTCCTTGCTTTTTCTTTTATGCAAAGGAGGTATACCAGAGTGTTAATTTTTGTGGCCCTCAAGTTAATCTTGGAGGAAATCTCAGAAGACTACTAATTCTTATTGAAGTTTATGTACTTGAGTAGATGTATGAAGTCGATAGTTTCATCAAAAAGATAATTTATTAAAAAAATTCTATGAAATTGTTAAGAATTTTTACATTTGATACTGTCACAAGTCTCGCTGTTACAAATACGGCAACCTAGACTTGCATTAGAGCTATTTTTATATGCAGCCTACTGTCTGGTGACAGCAAGACTGGAGCAAATGCAGGTAATTCTTTTCTAGCATGTTTGTTTCACCAGTGAGGAATGAATGGACAACAAGAGGTGTGGAGGAGTCTGTCTTGATGCAGCATGGATCCTCAAGTTGAGCTGTGTTACCAGGCATAAGCTCTGGGGGCTGCAGAAGCATAAAATCCGTGTTGCCCTTTCACGCAGTGTGTCATACTCTGTTTCTTTCCTAAACTTGAGACTTAAAATGAAATGTTAAGTGAAATTTCCATGACAGTTTAATTCTACAGTGATTTGGAACCAAGTTATTTTGAGATAAACTGGACATCTTTTCTTTCAGGACCAGCACTTGCAGATGTGGGAGAAGCTATGAAGGAGCTTTCTGAGGTCAAGGACTCTTTAGACATGGAAGTGAAACAAAACTTCATTGACCCCCTTCAGAATCTCCATGACAAAGATCTGAGAGAAATACAGGTATTACCCTCAATGTGGCATTTTAATAATGCCAAATGTGCAGACTGTATATATGTTCAAAATGTATGTTAGTTGTGTAGTTTAAAGTGGGCTTTCAGCTTTGCAGATGATCTGATTTTAGTCTCTTTTGGGTTGAGTTCTGCTTTTCAGTTCTGTCTTTCTTGTTGATGGTTTAGAAAGGGAAAGATCAAAATTCTAGCACTTTTTGACGCTAGCATTGTTAAGGTTATACAGGTATGAACACAGTACTCTAATCCTACCATTTGAAAGGTCATTTCATTAAATAGATGAGCAGACGTTTACATTCAATTTTCTAGTGTTTGACATCTGAGGGCATTTCAACAGTTGCCTCTAGACTGGTACTATTCTTTTGTCTGTATGAAGACTCTGTCCAAAACATTTCCAGGAATTTTGAATACAAACACTGTTTTCCTGCATGAATTATGTAATTGATAATCCAAGAACCATCCAGCATTTACAAAGAAAAATCTGTTTGCACACATACTTCTGCAGACACAACCTGATTTTATAATTATGGAAGTGAAAGTGCCTCCCAGTTCAGCAAATGCTTATCTGTTTAAGTAACTGTCTGAACTAATTAAGGCTTTCATATTGTTCGATATATGTGGATGTCTTAGGCAGTTTGATATAATTTACAAAGTTGTCAAAGTTAGAAGTATTATAGTAGATGACAAATTGATTCTTCTGAGGGCAAGTAAACACCTAAAGTAATCGTGCTGGTAGCATTAACCTTTGGCTAGCTTGATGTGGTGGCTGCTAAACAGATTGACATGAATGTTATGTCAGTTAACAAACTGGAAAATCTTTAATAAAAGTTAACATTAATGTCCTTTGGTGGTCTGATAGAAGTGATAAAAGTATTTTCTGTGTTGCTTTGTTTATGAGAACTGTTAGTTACACCAGCAAAAATGTACTCACTTGTGCTTTTAATAGAGTTTTCTCTTAAACAGCTAGGGAAAAAACACGGGGTTCAGGTAATTCTGCATCAGAGTTAAAAAGCTAGAAACTCACATATTTTTTATACAGCTGACAGTTGCAGTTATCCATTCTGCGTGGCCTTTTTTTAATGTTGAAAGTCTGACATTTAGAAAGCAGCACACCATTGCTTCTTAAGTGATATGTAAAACCACCTAATTCATTGTTATGTATTTCCCCTCTCTGGGAAAGGCTTAATATACAGCAAACAGCACATGCTTTCAAAGGTACAATGGACTACCTGATTACTATGCAGCATAAGGAGATTTGGGGAACATCCTTCATTCCATGCTTGCATTTTCATTTTTGTTTTTTTAGCATCACCTAAAGAAAATGGAGGGTCGACGCCTGGATTTTGATTACAAAAAGAAAAGACAGGGCAAGCTCCCTGATGAAGAACTTCGCCAAGCTCTGGAGAAATTTGACGAATCAAAAGAAATTGCTGAATCAAGCATGTTCAACCTTCTGGAGATGGATGTGAGATAGTCCTTGTTAATCTTTGAGCTGAATCTTAAAAAGAGAAAGATACTGGTTCAGCAGCTGAAGGCAATCTGAAGCAGTCTAAAACTTGAAAGCCTTATTAAATCCATGATGACACAGATTCTTGTCACTGTACAACTGGGAGCACTTGCCTCAGTGTGTGGCTCAGAAACTATAGTCACGTACACCATGCACATGTAGGACTAATTTTATAGCAATTTTAGACGTAACTGAACTAAAGAACATAAATCATCTGTAGCATTATGGTGCTTCCTAACTGCATAGTGTTACTTACAAAACCAAAATATCATCCTTCTTAGAATTATGTAAATGAAAGTCGTGACTTTTACTTAGCTGTAGTTTTAGGGTTTCAGCCAAGGCTTTTCCTCAAGTGTGTGGGTGGCTGAGAGGATTGGTAAAGATCAGAGATGGTGAACTGACAACCTCATGCAGTCGTGAATAGGAAAGCCAAAGCTAATGTGACTGCTCAAGTCTGACTGCAGCATATTTTTTGCTTACAGAGTGGTTTAGAATTGAGCATCTGTTAGTGTTTTTTTCTAATCTTCTATGTATAATTAATGTTGAAACTGAAAAATCAAGCAAGAAGGAAAAAATATTTTTTGGAGGTAAAAAACATTTCAGCTGAAGTCTGTCTTACAGGATGTGTGGTCAAAGGAAACTCAGTTTAAATATTTCTGTTGAGGTAAATGATTGGATTTATTTAAAGTTTAAATACACACCTAATTTAATTCTTAATTTTGTTATCAGATTGCTGAAGAGGGGCCATAACAAACCTGAAAATATTTGCATGTTAGAAATTAAATATAGCTGTGTTGAAATGAAAGAAGTATAACAAGTTTGTAGTTTTAATTCTCATAGTAACCTAACCCCATATGGCCAGATAGTTCTGGCCTGCATTACACCATTGCAGCATTGTAGTATTATGGAAACTGCTAGAAATTGCATTGCCCACACAGGAGTTTTGGATGCTTTTTTCCCCCGTGAAGTAGAATGCTGTCTGCTTTCACTACAAATATTCTGCGTCCAAGCGTATGTAGTATCTTCCTCTTTTGGTCTGCTTCACAGGCCAGAATACAACAGAAGTATGACCATAGTCCCTGTGGTTTTGTGCCCCTCAAGGGCAGGGAGGGAATGCTCTCATTACAGTCTAACTTTTACTTTCCTCATTTTGCTGAATGAGGTAGGTCAGTAGGCTGCTGTTCATGCAAATCAGCCATGGAGATGATCAGTGGAGAAGAGTTGCAGTTACCGCTGAAGATCAGGTCATAACTAGACATGGTAATAAATAAAGACTGGTATGTAACTATTCATGAGCTACAAAAATGAATCACATTTTTATACAGATAAGTAAAACTGCCTTTGCAGTGTCAGTGTGACAGTGGTCTTGCTAATGCTGAGCTGTTGTTAGTAGTAGCTTAAGATCTGATATTTTAATGTCAATCCTCAGATTGAACAAGTGAGCCAGCTTTCTGCTCTTGTACAAGCCCAGCTGGAGTACCACAAGCAGGCCACACAGATCCTACAGCGAGTTACTTCTAAGCTGGAAGATAGGTAATGGACTTTTTGTAAGTTTGTTGAATTGTTTTTTTGTTTTACAAAGGCAGAAAACCTATGACTAGAATGCAATACTGTTATCTTTTGCAAGTGGTTAATTGTACATTTATGAAAACAAGGGCCATTTCATTAGGCAAGTGCAAGCTGATGTTGATGGGTTTTGGAGATACATGTACTTCTGAGTATGGTTGAATGACTACTGAGTTGGAGAAAGCATCTCAGCTCAGTAAAGCTGTTAGATGAGATTTAAGTGAAAGCAAGCATTTATAAATATTGGAAGTCAGTACAGCTTTGGATTCCTTACCATTCTTGCATGTATTCACAAAGTAGTCTTTCTGAGAGAAGATGCTACTGATTGCTCTTGAAAAAGAGTATTTTGTTATATTCTTATCTACCTGAAGATCTTTCAGAGCCAGGTAGTGATATCCCCATCATTTGCCACTTTATTAAACACTCCCTTTTTCCAGCTTTATTATCAGATCCAACTTGATACAAGGCTTAACTGAGTTTATATCTTCCATCCCCTTTTCTGTAACTGCAAATGCTGTCTCAGAATTGATACAATATCTCCTTAATAGAATTTTACAATTTTTAGTTTAGCATTTTTGTTTCTATCAACACAAAGCAGATTGTATCTCCTTGAAATGAGGAAGATAACATTTGTAAAAGTTTATCAGCTTCCCACACACACATCTTTCTTCAAGGAAACTTATATATGAAAGGTTGCTTTAGTCCACATGGTTCTGGAATACTCTTCCTAAAAGCTGGATGTAATTGCCAAGAGCAGATAATGTTCACATACTTGTGAAGGTAGCTTTTTAAACGTGCATGATTCTTTGCTGTTTTCTGATGTCACTAGTGTACACCTAGTTTCTGGTACTACTGGGTTTTTCAGTACTTATTTTCTCAGAGCACACAATCTGTAGGCCTCACCCAGTTGTAAAGTCTTAAAATTTCTTAGTGATTAGGAGCAGCACTTGTTTTGGTAGGTAGGCTGCCCATGAGGCTGTTTCTGGATACAGTTTGCAATATTGTTTAAACAGGATGATTTTCAACACTTCCAAATGAGTACTGAAATTCACTTACTTTACAGAGGCATTAAAAAATCCTCAGGAGCAGGTGGGTTGTATTGTAGTTTGCAAGTTACACCATAGAGTGAACACACGTCTCTCTGCAACAGATTTCTCTTCCTTTATCAATTCAGATGATCCTTTGCCCTTTTGAAACTTCTGCTAAACAGTCAGTATCTTTGCTTTAAGTTTCAGCTCTGAATGATTTTAGCTTTTCAAGAATCTTGCATCAGACTGCTATTACAGGTCAGCTGAAATAGATCTTTTGCATAAACTTACTGTGAATTCCTAATCATAAAGAGTCTGCTAGCTACATCATCCCTGCTGCACACCACTGTACACAAATTAGAGCACTGTGATATGCTTATGCCAGGGGTTAAGCAGGAACGTAGAGCTGTTACTATTTGAGCTACTTGTCTGTTCTACTGGTGATATTCAAGTGGCAAAAATTCATAGCCCTGGATTTTGGAGGTTGTTTTTGGACCATATGGACCATAAAATAAATGATGTTTTAATTTTAATCTGGGCAAATTTGTTACTGTTTACTCTCAGTGATGTCTACAGCACAAACTGACTGTCTTCTAGATACTTTTTAAAAGATGTGAATGGAACTTGTTCATGTTGTTGTTTGGCATAACAATGTCTTCTAACTACTAAGACTGTCATGTTTAAAATATTACACAAAGAATTTTTTAAAAATATGAGATTAAAAAAATATGAGACTACAAAAACCTTGAAAAAATTTAAAATGCACTCAAGTCTTCTTTCTGGGCACTTTAGAGTAGGCTTCAAAACTTCCTTTAGGAATTGCAAGTATTTTCATTTTTCTTCTACATATTAATGGAAGGCATAAACTTCCTTAAAATACCATGATTCCAGGAACTGGGACTTTAGAAACTTGGCAAACACTGGGAGACTTACAATAAATTAATAAAATCTGGAATGTCAGCAAAGGCTTTTCCTTTTAAACTCTCTTTTTCATCAAGCAAAAGGAGGCTGCAGTTTTCAAGTCAGAATATAGTGACAGAGTAGCTGAGAAGCAGGAATGGTTTCCTTGGAGATGTTTCTTTTCTTAAGAAACATGGCTCATGCTGAGCTTTTAGGTAATTTTTATCAAGTTACTAGAACTGTCACCTTCTAGTTTATAATCTGTAAAAAATGGTGTTTACTTCACGGAAGTATTAAGTGTAATAGAACTTAAGTATTTTTTCTTCAAAACTTTACTGTTTTGAAAAAGTAACTTTTGTTAATGAATGAAACACAACAAAGACTTTTTATTTAAGTTTATCTTGACAGCTTTGTTATTTTATAGTTTTAATACACTTATGTTTTTGTTCATGAAGACGAAAAGCAGTCTCTGAGGACTGAGTAATACTGGTAATATTTTGGATGGTGAGGAAATGCTTGTTACCAGGACCCAAACTGGTTAAGTTAGAAGCAGAACTTTTCAATAGATAAATCAAGATGTGCTATGAACAGCACATCTGGTGCAGATCTAGAGAAAGTTAGGGAAACCAACTTGTGTTTTAAATACAGAGGTCTTGATTCAAGTATTCTTCCATATGCAGTATTAGAAATGTATATGGCAGTTGTTCTGCATAAGCTGCTCTGATCCTGTCATCATCCCTTCCCTGGATTTTACCCTGGAATCTGAAAATGTACCTTTTCCTAGAAATTCTAGATTTCTCAATTAGAAGAGTAAGTTGAAATGAATAATGCATATTTTTGAGAGTCAGAAAAACTGGAGTTCTGTGCCTTTGTGAAACAAGTATTCCAAATTACAAATGAACAAAATCTGCAACTGAAGTCAGTACATTCCCCCACAGTCTTCTCACAAAATAACAAGAGTTGTCATCGACCAACTGAACAGTTAAGGCTTGCCAGGGATAGAAGGAAAAATCATACTAAAAATGGGGGCAGAGATGTTTGTACAGCCCTTCTCTAAGCATTGCTAATCACATAACAGGTTTTTCTCCATTAGAAGTTCTTTGTTATTGTTAGACAAAAGGAAGCCAAACAAAGAGCTAAATTCTTGGAGGGGAAGAAAAATTAACAACCTCATGCATAGTCACTTGAGGGAGTTTCTGTTGTAAATAAAAAATTACTCCAAATGATAAAACTTGTTTAGTCTGGATGACTGGTGGATGGGAATTTCAGCCATGGAAATAAAGATGTTTGGTGTGTCTCATCTGTTAACAAGAAACTAACTCTTGACATTTACATTTTGGCAGAATAAAAGAGGCATCATCTCAGCCCAGGAGAGAATACCAGCCCAAACCCCGTATGAGCCTGGATTTCACAACTGGTGACAATACTCAGCACAATGGAGGAATATCCCATGCCACCACACCCAAACCATCAGGTAATGGCAGTCACAATGTGAGAAGAAAAGACAACTGTCTGGAGTTTTGCTACAATGCAGAACTAATCTAGATATTAGTTCTTTCATAGTGAGGGAAAATGAGAATGAGGATGGAATAGGAGAAAGCTGTTCGAACTGTTGTTTCTTTGAAAAGTGTTCATATCCCCAGGCAGGAGAACAGAGATGGATCATCTGCTGCTTTAAATGTGTCTTTGGGTCAGAAATTTAGAAGTTCAAAGAGATGCTGTCATACTGAATTCACCTTGAAATACAGATCTTTAGAAAATAGGCATTTAGAAAACCAAAATTGTAACTGGAAGTTTTCCATGAAAATGCAGAATCCTGAACATCGCCCCTACCCCTGCACCCCCAAGCCTCCATAACCTTATCCTGCTTTTTAAAACCAGGTGTTATAACACAAAAAGCCTGAAAGTAAAAATTGCTAAAAAACAACAAAGCCATCTGAGTTATTTTCTTTGTTAAATTGGAAGCAATACAAGCAAGTTAAAGCATTTATGACTGTGCCTAATTATTCTTTTAAAGAAGTGATTATTTCATATCAGGACATATTAAGAAAGCCGTATTATTTGTTTCTCACAGTAATGGTCTGTTATCCCATGTTATGGTGAGGGCTGTTCTCTGTCCAGACCCTGACCTCAGTTATGACAGTTTACCTCAGTGACAATTGCTAGTGCAATGGGGATACAATAGGGGATACAATAGAGATTGCTTGTACGTGAGCATGGCTTGAGTCTTGCATGCTATAGCTCTCCTCATGCCACTAGTAATTTTCTTCTTTACTTCTTTGTAGTGTCATGAACTGTAGTGTCTATGCTAAGGCAGGGAAGACTGATGTGTCCGAGTCTCTTCAGCATTCATGTTTTCCTCTTGAGAGAGCAGTGTTTAGCATTTTCTTCAATAGGGATTCTTTCTATTGAAGTATTTATCAGTTTCAGAAAAATGCCTTTGAAAATTCTTTAATGTATGTTTGGGTTGGTTCATTCAAAGCTCCAATCTTCTATGGTCATTAGAGTTCATTTGTTATGTCTTCTAAATTTCAGCTGGTAGCAATGAGGATACCAAACATGTGTTGTAAGGCTTGTTGATGCCAGCAAAATAGTCTTCATGACAAATAAAGTAAAATATGCTGTAAGCGATATGTAAAGAAGTGAAAGAAGGTTTCATTACATAATTTAATAAATTAAATCTGGTATTTGAAAAATTTGTTCTATTGAGATCTGTAGAATTGGAATATTTTTGTCCTAAAATGGCTCAAGCATGGGCTTTCTAGCCATAGTGAGTGGTTGAAATGAATATGCAAGAAGTTTGAATCTGAATCTTATTCATCCTGAAGTCAGTATACATGAAAAAGCTGAAATATGTATTCTTAGAAGTGCCATTATGGTGAAGTGTCACGTGTCGGTTTATTCTGACTACTGGAAGTGCATGTACTTTTACTATGGAAAGTTGGGTAGGGATGGATATAAGATTCTTTACAATTTAGTGCCACTAAATCCTAAGTATTTTGACCAGTAACAGTTTTGCTTTTGGTAGGCTTGAAGCTATAGAGACTTCCTGGGGTGGGGGAAAATGGAAGGATGAGAGGAATATTTATTAATTTCATATAACTTATGAAAATGTAATCTAACTAACAATTTATAATAATATCCATTAGTCATCCTGAGGGTTTATGGTCAGATGTTCTTGAACTAGGATATTAGAAATATTTCCATTTCAAACTTGTTCTGAATCTATCCTGGTGACCCTTCAATCAAGTGTTTTGTGTGAATGGGGAAAAAGGTCTTTGGAAACCTCATTAAAATTCAGCGGGTTAGGAGCATATACAGTGATTTACAGTATAGCTGTATCAGTGAAGATTCCAAATAAAGGACAAAGCCACTGTTAGATCTTCACTGTTGTTTTAAGCTACCTCTTACACTACTTACCTGAAGTAAATAGACAAAGTATCTCTCTTCCAGTAAAGCTAGAAATATGTTAGGGCCTTTGCTTCATTTTTTGTGTTTTGTAAACAGATAAAAATTAGATTCAAACTGATTGTAGCCATGCTTTTAGGTGTGGGCTTGACTGTAGCTTGATTCTTTTAGGATTCTCAGACATTTACTAGCAGTCACATATGAAAACTGAAGGCTGCCAAAAGCTGATTGCTGTCTTTTCATGAAGTTTAGCAGTCCAAATTTAGATGTTATCAAAGAACTGTCATCAGCATATGAGTGATACCAGAAATGGCAAAATCTGTAGTAGGTACAGTGGTAAAGAGGATACTCTAACTGTTGAGATTTTTAAGCACATTGTTTCTTTGTATTTGTTCTCCGTAGGTGTTCACATGGATCAGCCATGCTGCCGAGCTCTGTATGACTTTGAACCAGAAAACGAAGGGGAGCTGGGATTTAAAGAGGGTGATATCATCACTCTCACTAACCAGATTGATGAAAATTGGTATGAGGGGATGCTTCATGGCCAGTCAGGTTTTTTCCCTATCAATTATGTTGATATTCTAGTTCCATTACCCAATTAGGATGGCTGATCCACCACCTATGACCTGGATAGTTGTGTCAGTACCACTGCTTTCAAAATGCTGCTTCTTACACCTTACAAGTGCAAACTGCAGTGGTTAGTCATCGATTCCCACTAGGCATCTTTGGTTTGTGTGTTGTCATACTACATGGTGGTGATGCGTGGTATCTTCTGAGCCTGCATAGTGTGGGTTAGTTTATTGGCCATGCTGGCCTGGTGGTAACCAGAGCCATTACTGAGATGAAGCTGGGAAGATGATAGTAAGCAAAGCAGGTAACTCACAGTGAAGTAGCAGGAAGTGAAGGTGATATTGGGAAGATAACGCCCATCACCACTGTATTACTTTTCAGTCTTAGTTCTCTATAAAAAGAGGGAAAATTTCTTGCCATTCCATCTTTCCCTTCACAAATCTAACACTGACTGACCAGAATTGTATCTTCCAACCAAAATGGCTTGCTGTTCTCACAGAGACATTGTAAATGTAGACCCTCTGGTTTCTCAGAAAGTGAACCACTGTGCTGTGTGTCCTGCTGCTCTCCGCTCATTTTTATATTCTCAATTATTGTTAAAAGGCCTATTTTCATCTAGAGGTAAACTTCAAACCACAGAATGGGGATTCCAATAGTAAAAACCTTGGACCACAAACCACCTGAATTTGCCCTTCAGGAACTTTGAGCATGCTCACCAAAATGCCAGTAAGAGGGCAAGATGGGGAATAAAACTGGCATTTGTTAACTGTTTCTTGTCAAGTCTTGGCACAAAATCATGCTGCTTAAGCACCAGGTATCCTTTGTCAACTCACTCACTGAGGAATACAATAACCAACTGAACATGACCCTCACTTCATTTGTTTCTATCTACCATGTGTTCTTTGAACATCATTTGTGCACATTCTGCCCTCAATGAGGACTAAATAAAACATTGTTTTTTGTGTTGAGTAATTAAAGACATGTGGCTATATATGCAAAAACATTTCCCATATGTTTAGTTGGTTCTCTTGTGTTCCTCCTTCCCGCACTTTGTGTGTACATTGCTGTGCCTAGCTTCCTGGCATTCTTTTGGTAACAGTTGCAGAAGTTGTTAGTTTAGTTATCCAGAGTTCTATTTATCTAAATTGTACAGACTCTCTCAGAAGTTTAATGTACTGCTTCGAATGTGCCACTTCAGTACTGGATGATGTGAAATGAAAACAGTTCCCTATTGCTTAATGTATAATCTGTATCATGGAAAGTATTGATATTTCAAATAAATGCTGGGAGAATAACTAGAATAATGTTGTGGAATATTACTTTATTTCTTTCAAATATGTTGTGCTAACTTCAGCTAGCAAAAATTTTATTTCAGAAAGCATATTCCTCATTTCCTGAAAATGTGAAAAATATTTTCTCATTATCATATTGCTTCAGTCTATTAAAGCTCATATGTATAATGGCTCTCATAAACAGGGTAAACTGAACACTGAGCACATTAAATTAATGTAATGATGGCCATCATGCAATCTTGTGGGTACAGTTTGTTTCTTCTTAAAGAATGCTGGTATTCACAAACCCCCTAGTAAAGCTTAAAGACATGGTAACATATAAATAATTTTTTCTTTCATGTGACACAGCATTTTATTGTATTTTACATTCTTTGTTGTACACATACTGTGGTGGGTTAGTCTTGGCAAAGAGCTAAACACCCATCCAGCTGCTCATTTACTGTTCCTCCTCAGTGGGAGCATAAGAAAGCTTGTGGGTTGAGGTAAAGATAGAGAGATTGCTTACTGGTCACTGTCACAAGCAAAACAGGCTTGACTTGAAGAATACTAATTTATTACCAATTAAAGTAGATTTGTGTAGTGAGGGGGGAAAAAAAAAAAAAAGACAAACATTAAAATAGCACTTTTCCTGCCCCATTTCCCAAGCTCAAATTCACTCCTTCACTCCTGACTCCTGCCCACCAGCAGTGCAGGGGGATGTGGAATAGGAGGGTATATAGTCAGTCCATAGCAGCTCCTCTCTGCTGCTCTTTCCTCCTCACAGTTCTCCCTTGTTCCAATGGTGGATCCCTGCACAGGCTGTGGTGTGAATATCTGCTGGTGTGTCAAGGACTGCTGCCTCCTCATCCTTTGACCTTGGTGTTCCCTCTGCTATTTCTCACTCTTTTTCCCTCCTCCTCTCTCTGCCCAGTATATTTTGGCCTTTCTTAAGTATGTTTTCTCTGAAGTGCCACCATCTTGCCTGAGTGTCTCAGCCATGTCCTGCAGTGGGTTCATTGGAGCCAGCTGGAACCAGCTGTGTCAAGCATGAGGCAACTCCAGCCTCACAGAGGCTGCCCTGCAGCCCCCAACTGCTAGCACCTTGTCACATAACACCACAGGCCTATCTAATGGATGTTCCTATGCACATTGACAGACGATCTGACAGAATAGAACATGACAGAGTCTGACAGAGAAGGAGCCTCATTCAAGGCTCAGTTCAGTGTCTGGTTGGATGGGTCTCTGAGCAACCATATCTAGCTGAAGATGTCCCTGATCATTGCAGGGGGTGATCATTGCAGTTGTGTGTGTAGATATATTGATAGAGATATATATACAACTCCCATTACTTTCTATTACAGTTCTGACCTAAATCCTAGGACCAGCCTCTAAGTAAGTTTCTGTCAGTGATTGGAAGTAATCTGGTTCAAACCCAATGGCCCTGAAACTTTTAACAGATACATTAATAGTGACATATTACAGTTAAATCCTATTTTACAGTTACTTAACTGTGTTAATTATCAAGGCTTAGCTGTCACAGGTAGTGCCACTGGATCTGAGAGACACACTTCTAGCCCTGGCACACCCATATTTTTTCAGATTATTATTTTGTACTGTTTGTAGAAGGCATGCAAACAGGGCAACTATCTTAGAGATAATTTTACATAATTTAGAGCAAAAGGGTAATTGGTGTGCTGTGCCGTCCCTCCCTGCTGAGGGGGCCTGTTTTTTAAGGTGTAGGGAAATGTTGTGTCTTTCAACAAATGAGTCCAGAAGGAATGCAAATAATAGTAAAAATATCTGTTACATGCCATCACTTGATGACATGGGCCCAGTCTTGACATGTTACACAATTCTTGGCAGCTCCATATTTCTCTGTTCTCTGTCTCATAGGTAATCCCCGAAGAATGCTTTATTCCTCAGGTGACAAGATCAAAATCTGACTTGGCCAAGACAGAGATTATCAGGGCTGACAAAAATCTGCATCTAAAACTTCAGTGCTAATATGAAGGATATGATCCAGGGATTGAAAGAAAGCAGGAGGCTGTTTACTTTTACATCTCAGGTAGTTCAAAGCTTCACCTATGGAGACTTGTCGCCCTATTCCTTTCTAGAAGTGTGCAAGACGTTGTTGATGGAGGCAACATCCATTTTTCACTGGCAGATTTACAACTGTCATTCTGCTTCCTAAGGCGTATGTTTTGCGAAACATTTAAAAAATGTGACATGGGTCCCTAATTACCAAACTTGGCTTTAAAACTGCTGTTTCTCACAGAGGAAATCAGGCATTCTTCCAGTGCCGAGTTATCAGCTGCTGAATATAGCTAAATGTTTTGGGCTTTAATTTTTTTTTTTTTTCTATTGAACCCTAAGATTTCCTGAAGCTTTTATATACTTAGACTTTCTCATTTTTTGCAGTGAAACTCTGTGAAAAATACAGCAAAAAATCCCAACAGTTCCCTGAACAATTCTCCGTTTATATAAAGAAGTGATTGAACTAAATAAGAGTGGGGTTTTTTCCTCTTTTAAAATATACTCCTCCCTCCAGCAGGAAAGATGGTAGTCACACCCAAAATTTTGTATTTTAATCTTGCCTTATATACAGACAATTCTCCCTTTACATGTGAACAACTCTTCCTTCTCCTACACAAACTACATGGACAAGACTTGAAAAATGCTATGAAGACTTCTTTCCTGGTTTCACAATTGCAGGTCTTTCAAATCTTTATGCCTACTGCTATGCAGAGCAATAGTTCTGTTCCAGTATTATCTACAGGCTAAGGTAGCTGGCTAGACTCATGAAAGAAGGGAGCAGAGTGTGTAGGTCAGTGTGCGGATGGGTCTTCCTCCCAACATAGGAGTAGGCTGAGTAGGCGATGGGCAAATGAAGTGATGAATTAGGGTATATTGCCAGGTAACACTGTATAAAACCAAGTGTGTTCTATAGAAATTAACTTAATTTTCTGTAAAGCACCAGTAGGTTGTCTTAGACTTAAACTCAGAATTTCTAGAATGCTCTGTAATTATTCTATTATTTTTAAACTCTTGGCACTCTGGTACTTCAAACACAGATGGAATTCCCAGAAGGCTTTGCTATCTTTCTTTACCATTTGGCCTGAAATGTTGCAGAAGAAGGGAGAAGCTTTGTGATATATTCCTGCTGTGCACTGTAAAGTACAGATAAATTCTAAGCTATTTACCTTTAATAGTATCTCCTTGGAGATAAAGCACAGGAGAGCAGGTCAAAGAAGCAGCAGCTTCTGTCATGCCTTCCTAGTGCCACTGGCTCTGGAAAACCCCAGAACCTTTGGGGCTCAAACAGAGAACATTTCCCTTTTAGATGCTGCTGGAGCAGACAGTGGATGGGCTGAAGTCCCTGAAGTAAGAGTCCTTTCCTGGCCCACAGCTCATTTGGTGGGGTAGTGACAGGCAGCCTCATGCTACTTGCACTCACTTGATAGTACTTAGGGCTTGTGCCTTTCACTCTCTCTCCACCTTCCGCGAAACCTGGAGTTGAAAAGAAGCACTAACAAAACAGCGAAAGAAAAGAGGGCAAGATCTCCCGTGTCTCTGCTCATTTATGACTGGGAGTCTCCAGGAGCAGCTGAGCAGCTCACCGACAAGATTTGCTTTCCCGGTACCTGCAGTAACACACTGGTACTTCTTTGGGTCACTGCATGAAACTGCAGGATTCAACAATTTACCCCTCCACCATCAAGAATGCTCATCTATAGTAGTTTCCTACTGCTCAACAGTCACTGACCTGTGGCACACCCTTTTCTCAGAGCATCCACATGGGCAGTGAGGTCCTGAAGTTGGCAACAGCTGTAATTCACGTCACCAAGAGAGTTATATTCTCGTGTTTCTAATGATCCCCATATTCACTCTGTCTCCTCCCACACCAGAGTGGCAAGAGTTTCACTGGGGACATGGAGAACTGGTTCGGAGAGAGGGTGTGGCTCTAGATAGGGACCCTTTCCTCAGGTCTTGGGGGTCTGCACATCCCTGGACTACGGGCATGCTTGCCACCCTACAGCTGCCTCCCATTTCTTCTCCCTGCTGCAGTGAGCACCATCACCAGGCTCCACAGGCTGCAAAAGAGGCCTCTCATAGGCTGTTAGCTGTACTCTAGGTCCTGTGCTCCCACCCCACAAAGACCACATACCTTGGTCTGAAACCATGTACCCTTCTAATGCCTACACTCAAATTCAGTGTAATGCATAAAGTCTCTTGTCCCACTTATGAACCTCTGTTCTGACATGTGACTTTCACACTGTCTAACATTTCTCCTCAGGTGTAGGACTTTGTTTTTGTTGAAGTCACTTTGTTGAAGTTCCTGTCAACTCATTTCTCCAGCCTTTCCAGGTCCCTCTGGATGCCAGAACAACCCTGTGTATCAGCCATTCCTACCTGTTTTGTATCATCTGCAAAGTTATGGAGGGTGTAGTTTCCCTAATCTTCCAGTCCATTAATCATAGAGTCATACTGTCACAGAATAGTTTGGGTTGGAAGGAACCTTTGAAGAATATCTAGTTCCAACTTCCCATCCTGCCATGGACAGGGACATCTTTCACTACATCAGTTTGCTCAAAGCCCTGTCCAACCTGAGTTTGAACACTTCCAATGATGAAGCATCCACAACTTCTCTGGGCAGCCCGTTCCAGTGTCTCAGCACCCTTACCATAAAACAATTTATTTCCTACATCCAATCTATATCTATATAGCTATATGTCTGTATCTATATATTTATATATCTATATATTTATTACATACAATCTATATCTACCCTCTTTCAGTTTAAAACAGTTGCCACTTGTCTTGTCACTATAGGCCCTGGTAAAAAGTCTCTCTCTGTCTTTCCTGCAAGGCTGGAAATTTTTGAAAGGCTGTAAAAGTGTTCCTTCAGCCTTCTCCAAGATGAACAACTCCAGCTCTCACAGTCTTTTTTCGTACGAGAGGTGTTTCAGCCCTCTAACCATTTTCATGGCCCTCCTCTAGACTCTAATGAAAATGTTGAACAAGGTTGGACC